ATTATTATTTATTCTAAAAATTGCTTTAAATATTAAAGTTTTTTATTACATGTGTTAAACTTTTGGTAGAGATCTTAAGGTTCATACAACCTTAATAAATGGAATAGGTTTTGGAAACTGGGACTACCCTATCTAATAGCGTTTAAAACCGTATTTCTAACGACAATGAAAATCGGTCGATGTTACACACCGTGTATGATTTCAGCTTTACACACGACGTTGTATCTTATACACATATTTTTTATATATATATTTAATAAAAATAAATATAAAAATGACGATTCCTATTGATTAGTCCTGAGACAGAATGGGAGAGTGGATAGGCGAATGATTTATGTGAAACGTTGTGAATGTTGATAATTGTCTCTATTGAGTACGATACATAGTAATCATAATAATTTAGTATTCTCTTCCAGCGTTCTTTACACTCGTCGTTCATTTATAGAAATTTCATGCGCCGCATTCGCGCGAGTGTAGTCAAAATGAAAACAAAGTCGATAAAATTAATCCACGTTTCTATTGCCACGCTACATACAGTATAATCGTATACTACGTAGAGTATTTAAAAACTATGAAAGTAGAAGCTTAAAAAAAAAAGACAACAGAAAATGAAAAGAGAGAGAGAGAGAGAAGGGGAACAATCGTTCTGCTACGTTTATGCTACATTTACAGCGAGAATTTCGTTCAGTCATCTGAAACACAGAAAAAATGAGGAGATCGTGCTTATACACATGTCAAATTGTCAAAGGGTTGTAAAAGACGTGCGCGTATTAAAAACAACGCATGTAAACTTTTTTACATGCCTCGTTCAACAAATTATCAACGTGGTTGAACGAAAATTGGATCGTCGACAAAGTATAAATTATTATAAACAAATTGATCTAACATCCTAAAAACTCGATAATCACAACGTTCTGATTTGTCAAAAGGAGAAATAATAATCAGTTCCATGAGTTTCACTTGTTTGTTCGAATTAAGTAACATCAGGAGGTGTGGCGAAATGTTGGTTATGAACCATCGTTCGTATCGAGATTTCAGACTCCTGAATGTCCTTGATAAATCATTGAAATGATGATTGCACGACGAATTGTTACAATTCGAAGGGGAGAGATTCTGTTATCGATGTTTAAGAACACGAATAAGAACCACACCTCGAGACCGAGAGCATTAGCACCGGAAGTGTATCTAAGAATGTGTATAAGCACCGGATTCTTCGTAAATGCACCTACCTACAGCGTTCTTCTCTACAGCCATACGAGATAAATCGACCGTCTGGAAACAAACGTCTACGAGAATTACTCCAGCGACAGCTGAGACCGCGACACTAGCTACTGTAACAAGTCTTGCGTACGTCGGCGAGTATTACACTGAAATCATCGTCAGCCTTTGGAACGTGTTCCATGTTCTGTGACTGTTGCGTCTGCTGGCTCGACTGTTGCTGCTGCTGTTGCTGTTGCTGTTGCTGTTGTTGGTGTTCCGGGTACTTGGCCACGTCCATCGACTGGTGGTACTGGTCCATCGCGTGGCTCATGGCCACGTTTGAGCACCTCGCGTCCTTGCCCTGGTCGTCGACGATGCACTGAGCGTTCGACATGTCCAACTGGCTCTGCTGGGACGCGTAGTAACGCAGGTCGCTCGCGTAATTGTGATTGCTGTCGAGAAGATTCTGCGAGGTAAGACTGGTGTGCGCGATGCTGGTCGGGTGCGAGTACTTGAAGTACTTCTCCAGCTGCAACGACTGCTGCTGTTCTTCCTCCGCACTGGCAGCCATCGCGGCCTCCATGTGACCCAAGATCGAGTGCTGCTGACCGCCGCTGGTACCGTCCGTTTGGTACTCCTGGTGGTGAGGCATCTGGTACCGATGGGACACACCTGCGAACAGAAGTCAAACAACTATAGCTTAAACAAGCTGAAATTGTATGAAAAGGATTTTACCGGATTTTTTACATGTGAAGAAATGAAAAGAAAATATAATTAGTGGAGTTGGTTTGATTTTAGATGAAGTGAATGAGAATGACATTAATAGAGGATTACCGGAACAACCCTCGGCGGCTCCTCGAATCCCCATTGACTGCTGCCGATTGGCACACTGAACGGGATTATAATTACTCTCGACGGCGGACTGCATCGAATAGTTGCCGGTCTTAGAGGACTGGGTGTTCGTATAGTGCTGCAACGATTGATCGTGCGGCGACGCGACAGGCGGATAAAACGTACCCGTCACGGAACCGACGTTCTCAAATCCTGACCGTAATTTATTGCACGACACCATCATACCGTTCGCTATGCCCACCGCGGCTATACTCGACGGCTGCCTCTCGAAGTTTAAGTAACTTACCTGAAACAAATAATACAATTCCTAATTTCTAATTTCATTCTCTTCGCATAATTTCAATCATCAACAATTAACATGGAGAGACAAGTTCTAAAAAAGTGTTCACAATTTTGCCTAATCAAAAGGTGGATAATTGAGTAATGTAACAAGTGCCAGTTGTTAACTCACAGATTTTTTGTACGTCAGGGTGTCCGTGTAAGCACCAGAATTCTGACACGACGATATGCTAGTACCACCAGCATGACCCGTGTGCAGCTGATTATCAGCGTTCATAAAGGTGTACCGTTTCGTTTGCTCGTTCATCTCACCGTGTTGCTTCGACGAGCCCTCCATCAGATCACGTTCTTCTTGATTCTGATTGGATGACAAATGCGTCCCATCGCCTGTTCCACATATTCAATTCGTTAATCGAACGATGCTCACTCTTACGTTCAAACGTTTCGAGATAAACAGAGAATTGAACTCTTGATGAAGTGATAAAAATTGTCATGTACCAAAAGAAATAATTAAGTGAGCTCTTTAATAGTAGCAGAATTTAGTTAAAGAGGTATATATGGTTCTGAGAATTGCGCGACTGTCGGAACGATAATTAGTGAGAGTACAAGAGTCTCACCATCTGGCTCGGGACTGGCGACTGGAGACATCTCCGGTGTGTGAATGATAGGCGTATAAGGACTACCGTACAAGGAATTGCTCTCCGATTTGTACTCCTGGATACCTTGCTGCTGCTGCTGCTGTTGCTGTTGCTGCTGCTACTGCTGCTGGTGATACAGAGATGAGATCGGGGAATGGCCGCCCCATGGGATTTGAGGAATGCCTTGATAACTGTCCATCTTGGACCTTAAATAAACGTCGACCATAATTTTCTAAGTCCTCAAAGAAATCAAGAAGAAAAGGATTACATCAAAGTTTCATAGTTTTCATTAAGCATTTTCATACTAAATCGAATAAATTATATTATGTATATATATATATGTATTATAATATGTTTCGGTTCCTTTCTCAATTTGAGGAATTCCNGGATGGGAGGACTGATTAGAATTTCTGTTTTATATATATTTTGTTAACCAATTGTAATTCCTAATGTTTAATGACTCCGTCAGATCATTAGTTTAACTATCGTCACGTTGGGTAAACTTTCTTATTTCAAGATCTTTTCAAACGACCCAAACGGAGGGAAGAGAAAAGAAGTTTCTCGTCTAGCTCTCTCAGCAGAGTCCATTTTCGTCACTCCAGGTCTGTTCTTGCTCGAATCTTCTTCCCCCGTTTTTTTCTCTCCGAGCGGCAAACCCTTTTTTGCTACGTACACTTTTCGCAGGGAATAGGGTTGAGAAAGAGAAGCTTCGTGTTTGTCGAGAATCAATGGCATTCCTTTTGTCCCTTGCCTCTGTACGAGCAAAAAGAATCTGATATTCCGTGATTGATTATCCAATGGTAAAAATGTATAAACGAACGATAAACTGCAGGAATTTTATTAGACGGTGTAACTGTGAAAAGAAATCTCCTCCTCAATAATCAATATTGCTAAACTTCCACATTCTCGACACTTCGTTATTATTGTTGTATACATACATGAATGTATACATAAATGTGTATACATAAATGTGTACATACTGTCAGATTGAAAACTTTTGAGTAGAAACGTAGCTGGACTACTACCATAAGAAACCTAGAAAATTAGGTTTGTAATGTCCAATACTCCATCTTGAAATAATAAAAGCCTGACGCTGAAACAAGAGAGATAAAGAAACTAAAAGAGGAAGACTCGTCTGATCCTCTCGCGTCGCCTAAACCCTCCAGCCACTTCAGTGGTCTTTACCACAAAGGTGTTCTTCCGCGTGATTCGCGGAAAGAATGAAATCATCTGGGCTTCGCCGTTGCCGTGCACAACAACAGGAAGAGGAGGAACCCAAGAAACAAGAGGAATAAAAGAAGAAAGGCGGCCGAAACTTTTCGGCCGACGATATAAGTAAACTTAATTTAATATTCCTGGGCGCGCTCCACGGTGAGCTAGCCGGCAGTGATTCATCATCACACCCGCGCATTGCTTCCCACCGTGACGTCCTCGTTAAGTATTCTAATGGTCGCCGTGTACCTCTAATTTACCCCGTCTCTCGGCCCCGGTCGGACGACTTCATTAATTTCGATGTTTCGGTCAAAAGCAGGCCGACTTCGCCACCCAAACGGTTCGCCTAGCTCCGTCGGATTACCCATTAGCCTGTTATCTCAACGTCTACTAATCGTAATCCTTCGAACAGAGCCTGCGCACGAACAATCCTAGTGATCAGGACTCGATCATAACCGCACAATCAGTTACCAGCTTAACATTACATAACTCGTTCGTGACAATATTTAGAACAAAATTGTTATTAACAATGAGATAAGATTTCTTAGAAGGAGAAATCTATCTATACTGCAAAGACATACTGAAAGAGAGACAAAATCTGAATTTTGTGCGAGGGATTTAAACGCACTGAGAAAAGTTTATAAAGCCGATACGCGTCGTGTCACTCGACAAGCCTCGCATCGTTAACGCGATACAGTGGGTTTATATCCCAAGACGAATCCCGAGCTAATAAAATGCATAGTTTCCGGATTCGTTCCGCATTATAAAGGAAACCTCGCTGCGGTAAGTGAAACGATTAAAAACTGTTCTGTCGCAACCGGCTTTGCGCAGGGAGTCGAGCGGAGTCGTTTTAAATGTATGCAAAGCAGCGCACGCGGGTCACAACGGATTCGATCGGCCGACCGGTGTACGTCGGAAATCTCATTTGGACCGATGCTAATAGGCTGGCTTATCCGCGCGGCCTAATCTGACCGCACACACGTACAACGTCGTTCACAAATATTTCGACGCTACTGTTCGGATAATGCGTTTGTCGAGCCTCGAAAAACGGTCGATGGGTTCACGGCAAATACCGCGTTCCCGTTAAACAAGTTACGTAGTGCAAACTTTGTGATTTAATCAGTCGACATTCTTACGATCATGCGATATGCCTGACACGATTATAATGTGAAATCGGCGACGATTTAAATTACGGTTCTGCGACACGGTTTGCCCTCGATTTTAAAATTCATGAAAATTAATCACATGCTGAAATTAAAATTACTTCTAGTGTTAAAAATAATCATTTGAGAACTATGTCTCTGAAGGAGTTAAGTAAGGACCCTAATCGATGTTCTGCGTTTCAATAATTAGGGAATTGGAGGGTCGATTTATCTGATTTCTCAGTGACTCAGAAAATTAATTAGAAAATAAAATTGAAATCATTTCCAGTATTAAAAAAAATAAT